CAAAAGGTTCTTTTTGTATTATGAACGTAAGTTATACAGGGGTACTTGTATAATAAACGAATTATTCTTTTCGTGGTGCTTTTTCAGCAACTTCCATGTGGCGATAAAGTGTAGGGAAGTAATTTCATGCCTTTTTCGGGTACTCTGTAAGTGATTCGAAGCACGAAAGTAAGTTAAGGAGTAAGTATTTGGTGTTAATCGATTCTTATAATGGGATGCGCCGCGCACTTTTTCCTATCTTGAGTAAGGATTAGAGGTATTAATCTTTTGAATGGGCCCTATAGTTTACCATAAGATCGTTGATGAAATGTAATGTAAAAATATGGGAAAAGTCCAGATAAATAGTAAGGTGTGGTCATACTTTGCGACTGCTTTTGCAGTTCCAATATCGAGTACCATATAAACATATCGATCATGTGTCAACATATATCAGCATATCGATCATGCGATGGCGCAAAATATTGTTTGGGAACATAAAGGATAAAGGATAAAGCATTTGCCGTTGATCAATCCCTTTTTGGGATGCTACTTCCATTTGTACATTCGTAGTGGCGTTTGAATGCGATGTGGCCTATACAATGACTTGCGGGGCCAGCCGATGTACAAGTCAGTGTTTTTATCCTCCCAGACAAGTCTGGTACCAATTAACCGACCCCGGAGGGATGGAAGGCTTGGTTGGCCCGGGCGACTCACGACCCAGGATTTGATCCCCGGACCGCTCGCGTGGTAAGCGCGCCACTTGTCACTACACCACTTCCGCCCAAACATAGTAATATTATATTGAGCAAATATATATCGCAAACTCTCAACCAATGAATAGCTAATATGACTTTGGAAAGATATATATCGCAGAACTCTCAACCATAGCTCAAGCTACAGCTGATGAACTCGCGCATATTTTTGTCTGGGAGCTGTTTTAAGTGTAGTTTAACATTTTTGCAGCAGCTAATTGTACCATACCTCTCATTGAGCACTTTTAAGTTCGCCAATCTAACTCTACTTCTAACTCTTATTGTAAAAGGCTGTATGAAGGTAATCGAGGGATTGCACAAACTCCGACCTCTCAAGGGAGAGTTTAATGTCTCGGAATGCACCCATAGGGAAATGCATTGCATACCGATTCGTTCCTACCGTAATTAATGCTTATCAGGTAGATAGCGTTCCATCTCTGCCCTCCATCGTTCGGTTCGTTGCATGCGTAAAACAATGAACCTTCAGTTCCGATTTCGCACGAAATCTCATCTTTATTTTGTTTTTTTTTAAGATAATTTGTTCATACTGTGCGAAATATAGGTCTTGAAAGGGTGGGGTTATTTCTTTCAGTTTATTGTGACTCCACTTAACTCTCTGAAATATTATCTTAGAAGTTTTGAACCACTAATCGCGTAATCGAAAGCTGTATGTTTAATCTCTCATCATGTGGATTATAAATGCTCTATTAGCTAGGATGTTCCCTCACCTAAAACAAAATTTTAGAGGCCGTGGTACAAGAATGAATCCGCGTATTCTTCGTGTTGCCTCTGGCTTCGCTTGTTTAGGAAATGCGTCAACTAGATTATCCAATTTCGACACCATTAGAGTGAGTGTGTAGCAAAATTTGACCGTTATAATGTTAGTGTTACGCAGTAAAATTCACTTATGATTGTTCAGAGTCAAATGAGGTCGTGTTTGTTAATTTTTACGCTGACTGGTGTCGTTTTTCACAAATGTTGAAACCAATTTTCGCTCAAGCTAGTGAGAAATTTCAAGTATGTTCAGTGTTCATGTACATCATCAAATTTCTTTTCTTCCAAATTTTTCTCAAATCGCATGCAGTTTCTTGTCAATGAAAAGCAGTTTCTTTTTTGTGCCTCATATCGGGACCTAAGATGCGGTTCAATTTCTCAACGAATGAACCGATTCCGTTCACTTTTCCTTTCCGCTCTTAGTTCTACAAGCTTCTACTTGGCATCTGATCCCTTCAGCATCACTATGTTAGAGCAAGTCGACAATGGAAGCGAGTTCCTCTGCGCTTCCTTCATCTTGAAGAGCACTTTTCAAACTTGACCCCATAATGAGGGCCGCTGGCGCTATATTATAGCGTCAACCGCTTGCCTTTTAAGCCTACTTGAACCTTGCAAAACCAAGTTTCTAAGCAGTACTTTCGCTGGCTCTTTTCAATCCCTAACCTTAGTCATAATCCTTCTCTATTCTGTCAGGTTGTGATCAAAGGGTCGATTTTTCTACCATTGGGTCCTGTTAAGATGTCACTATCCTTTATTCTGCATAGAGGAATAAATTCTTTATGTTTTTCGTTTGCACTACCGTCTTCGTCAAATTTATCATTAATGTGGATATTGTCGGTGAGCCGTGATAGTGCAGTAGCACTGGTCGCTATAAACACGAAGTTCGGATTTGACCCCGACTGGTGCACAACATTTTGTAAATAAACCAACGTTCCCTAAATGACTTTCATAACTTCCAACTTCCACACCGTTCGGACATCTCACAAACGTCAAACGGCTCGGTGAATATTTTTATACTGCTTGTTCCATACAAAAGTGTAACTTTCAGAAGTCAACGTTCCGTCGAGGCTCTTTCTGAGTTTATTCAGAAACAGTTAGATTCTGGACTTCAAGAAATTCCCAGCACGGAAGAGCTGTATCGAAAGATGGATGTGAGGGATTTTTAATTTTTTGATACTATGTACTTCGTTCTGCCTCACTTTTCGAGATTTAGAATTTTCTCGGTATTTGTCTTCGCTGATAAATTTAGCGCGGGCACTAACCATAAGTGTTTTCTCTCCAAATGAATGTTATGTTCATGGTCTATGATTCAGAATTTCGGCTACGAATGACGGGGATAATTTGACTCAGCGTGGGTACCACATCCATATAGCGAGAGATTCTGACGTCCACGCTACAGGCGCTGGCCTCAAAATGCCTTAGATCACTAAATTTGCTGATGCTTGATCAAGAGGTACTTTCAGTCAGGAAGCACGAATAACTAGTACTTATTTCTTTCTGGTACTCGAGTACTTATTTCTTGGGAAAGTGCTCCGAATTTGCGTTAAAGGCGCCAGCACCTTAATAGTGTACTAAACTGCATCGCAAATGGTAGCCGCGACATAAGCGTCCTCGTCATCAGTAAATAGTGCGCTTCTCTGATAGTCCACAAAGCAAATAATCGCGGTAGCAGATTTATGGCCGAGTTCAGCAAGGGAATTTTTTCGTATAATGTATGCTATACGAAGAACTACTACACAGATTTTTCTAATCAATCGGCAATTTCTGTAATATGTTACTCAACACAGGTCTTCCAGGCATCAAAACGTAATGTAGTCGCCTACTTCCCGCAACTCAGCGGACCCGAATACGATTCTCTAAAAAAGGTATGGCAGAAATACGTTCATTCGAGTTTGTTTGTTGTACTTCTTAGTTGTTTTCCAAGGTTGCGTCGGTTTTGAGAGAAGAATGCGTTTTCTACGTTGGTGGCGGTCCAGCTTTTTCTGCTCGTACAACACAGGGCCCGGCGCTGTTTTTCATGGGAAGCAATGTAGGTCGCTCAGTAGTTATGACTTCTACATGAAATAATGAGTTGCTTTGCAGTCACAAGAAGGACTGCAGTTCACTGGAGACATGAAGAACTATGATTTCTTGAAGTAAGTTTTCGGATATATATAAATTTACCTCTACTTTTTTCGCAATAGAAATCATTTTTTCGAGGTTGTTTTTGATGATTGCATTTTATAAGTTGATGTTCGAAAGTTGGGGTAGGTGTGGCACCGGAAGTGACGTGCACTTGATAGAAGTTGCGTGGATAAGCTGTTGCCAGCATGCTTTGCTGATATCCAGCGATGTATGTTGGAAAGCAGCTTATCCACATAGCTTCTCTATCAAGTGCACGTCACTTCCGGTGACACGCCGACCCCAATTCTCGGATATCGTGTATATATCGTGTATAGAAGTACGATATCGTGTATAGAAGTACAGTCTACTGTACCTATTGCATTGGACAGTTGCGCAGGAAGTTGTGTGCAACACTCCTTCAGCTGCGGATGAGGACTTGTTCCCTTTGAATCTATTAGTTTCCTGTGCGATGTTTTTTTAGTTGCACACATATCCACAAATGCGCTCTTCGACGGGATAGCCTCGTGGATAAAATGAATTGAAACTGAAAATAAGCCACTTATCCCGACTGAGCATGTGACTCCCTATTATTTTATTTTATTTATTTATTTATTTATTTATTTTGGATGCACGCGTAGGTGCGCTATACCGAATACAACACAGTACAGCTTATACAGAATTAAAAAGTTCGATGGACCTTAACGCGAATGAAAAAAAAAACTACAAATGAACAGAGAAAAAAAAAACAAAGTTTTGTTCCATTGTCCAAGTTGCTTTTAGATTGTATTCAAAATCACCTTTGTAGGAATCTGGGTAGGCGGATGGCGCTAGGGATAACGCCACTCCTTGACGACTATGGCATATATGTACAGAATCCGAAACTGAATTTTCGGATGTTAGGTATTCCCTAGCCCTAACAATTCAGTTTCGGACCCGCCTGCATAAAAATTTCGCTCTAGAACGCATAGAAAGTTACACCTATCTCGAATAGTTTGTAAGAGCAATTTCAGTAGCAACTTGCAATCATCCAACAAAAAGTTTTTTTTCCAAAACTGTTAAGGTCTTGTAATCAAAATGCATTATAGGTTGCAGTGACATTAGTAAGTGTGAGAAAAAAAAAACTAAGAACGAAACAGGAAAAAAAAAAAAAAAACAATAATGTCAAAACTGTTATAATCACTGTCTTCTTTCACTGTCTTATTATATGAATCCTGTCCAGAAATTGCAGGAAAGCGAAGGCCTACCGGTTTCCCTAGACTTGCTAGCCATCTCGTTTCAGGGCTCACAAAGTTTTAGTTGGAACAGTTTGTAAATTTGAGTAACAAATAGCTCAGCTAGTGATATCGGGATTGGCTTTGAAGGCGCGTAGGATTCGCAGCTCGCTGAAACAAAAGAGAATTGATTTGTCGCACGCCTGATTGTAGCAGTTCAAATTGTACGAGCCTCTCGACTGTAGGTATTTGTGACATAAGATAGGTCAGAAGTCTTTAGGTAAATGTATTCAAGTCATGGTCAAAGTCGTAATATGTCTTTTTTTCGTGGGTTCATAGACGGAACGTAGAATTTTTCGCGTTTCGCAGCGCGAAACATTTTCGTTGCGGGAATCTCGGGTCCACTGATGATTCGCTGCGGGAACCTCGGGTCCACTGATGATCAGCGGTGGACCTGAGGTTCCCGCAGCGGAAAATATTTCGCGCTGCGGAAACGCGAAAAAGCCGCTTTCTGTCCTAGTGAACCACACCCCTTTTTTGTTATTAATTTGGCGTCACGTTCTTCAGAAAGTGCCCCCGCTCACTCTTTGCATGGCTACATCAGGAAGAAAGCTCAACTTTACACTCTGCAGTTATCTCATTCACAGTTTTTCTCAAATTTGGCTCTTAATCATTTGCTAAAATCTCTGATACTTTTTTACTGTTCTTCTGGCTACGTGATACTCGCCCGGTCCACCCCTCGGTTTGATCTTGGTGATTACCAGCTGATGAACCCTGTTTCTCGGTTAGATAGCCATAAATGATTGCAAAGGCCAGCCTATAATGTTTATGACGCCGCTTCTTAATAGCCATTTCCAGATGCAAAATCGTTAATACTAGTAGAAAACCCCCTTTCGATATTTTACAAATGCCTGACTCATTAATAAATAAATCGGCGCTACTCATCCTCATGGAACGTGCAAGAGTCTAATACTTCGCAATACACGCTTCTCTACCGAATTAAATGAGAGAAGTTTCAAATCACATTTGGCACTTTATTACTGTTGGTATAATTTTTATTTATTCGTCTTCGAAAGACCACCTTAATTACTTGTTGATTGTTTTCCTAACATTAATTTAGTTTAAGCATAGATATTTGGGTTAATGATGGCCCATCGGCTTGGCTCCTCTGAATGCGATCACTCCATCCCCTGACCCGTGGCGGCATCGGTAGGCTGTTGGGGAAGGAATCACGTGAATCGCATTTGCTCGTCTACTAATACCATTACATCGCATTATTCGGTCACCATCTAATTCTCCTTACACTTCCTTAGTGTTCGATAACACCACTCAAATTTTATTTGTATGCAAGTATTACGTATACGTAAATTCATCCGTATGACTTTTTACACTTTATTTCAAGACAAAAACCGCCCTGATATTTAGTTTTGGAACCATCGTATTGGAAATATGCGTAAAAGGTTTAGATACGTATCGACGTAGTAAACCACGCCCTATTAGCGTTGCTAGAGGATTTTCGCACCGCCGTTTCGATGCTGCGATCTCCGATTGACTGATCGATAGACACTAATTTCCTTTTCAAGAGGATTCGCAGATTCGAATGCGCGATTCGACGCTCCTCCCATTTTGTGGATCGATACGCATTTGAATTCTTTTCGCAGATTTTCCGCATTCGAGGTCGTTTCCGGCCATCGCTCCAAAGGTGTAAAAGTGCTAAATCTCCTCGCACTGCGAGCGACGGGACATTTACGAGCTGATGGCGCCGAATTATCGTTGGTCGGCCGTGTAAATCTCCCGTCGCTCCTGCAATTGTGCACAATCGCTCCAATCGCAAAGTCTGACATCGGCCAATCGTTGGGGAGAGGGACAGTACGCTTTACTAGTTCAATGTAACGGCATGAGTGGAAGAAGCTTCTCAATCATTTCGGCACAAAATACAAGTTCTCTCTACGAATGTATGAGTATGAAGTTCAATATAACGCTATTTGGCACTTTATTTACATGGTTGGTATAAGTTTTATTTCTTCGTCATTCGAAAGACCACCTCATTACTTGTTGATTGTTTTCCTAACATTAATTTAGTTTAAGCATAGATATTTGCGTAAGGGATAACCATCGGCTTGGCTCCTCTGAATGCGATCACTCTATCCCTGACCCGTGGCGGCATCGGTAGGCTGTTGGGGAAAGGAATCACGTGAATCGCATTTGCTCGTCTACTAATACCATTACATCGCATTATTCGGTCGCCATCTAATTCTCCTTACACTTCCTTAGTGTTCGATAACACACATCAAATTTTATTTGAATGACAAGTATGTATCGTTCATTTTCTCTGCATACACTTTTTACCTCTGCAGCGATCGCGTGACGAAAGACTGGCCTTTGATGCACCTCACTTCGACGAACGCTGCATTGAGTTATTTTAATTACTAAGTTGCTGATCCGTGGTGCAAGTGTATCATTCAAAGACAAAGCCGTCTGATATTAGTGCTTTTCGAAAGGATCTGGTTTGGAAATATTCGTAAATCAGTGAATAAAGGACGGAATCAGTACCCTTTACTAGGTTCGATGTACCAGGGTTATTCATCTATTTTCAGGCAATGGTTGACAGATAAATGCATTCCTATTGTACGCGAAATAACTTTCGAGAATGCTGAAGAGCTAACAGAAGTAAGTAGTGAGAATCGTTTTCCTGTAATTGCTATAATCTCATCCCTGTTGTTTAGGAAGGAATTCCTTTCCTCATCTTGTTCCGTCATCCTGATGACAAAGAAAGCGAGAAAGTGTTCACAGAAGCTGTAATTAGAGAAATTCCTGACCAAAAAGGTATGCTTTCTTGAAAAAGTTCCAACTTCTATTTATTACCCTGGCGACTCATTGGCAATGAAATGACTGAGGAGGAAATAACTCTTGATGAAGAACTAAAACACACCACGGTGCACGCGCAACGGTGTTCGTGAGTGTGATAAGAAGGTTCCTTTGGCTTTGTGATGCAAAGTTTTGTTAATAAAAATATATCGTAATACGTTTTGTGGTTACTTCAAGCCTTGACAAAAAAAAACCAGTCATGCGTTCAAAAATCGCCCAATTTAGTGTGTCCCGCTTGAGTCCGTCGAAAACTGTTTCTGTTTCATGATTACCATCACATTTTCAGCCGCGATAAATTGTCTGGTCGCAGATGGAAAGAAATTTGCGCACCCACTTCATCATCTTGGGAAGAGAGAAAGTGATTTACCGTTGATAGCGATCGATTCCTTCCGTCATATGTACCTGTTTCCAAATACAAATGATATGACGTAAGAGCTACTAATAATACTTTTTTCGTTTCATTCCTTCTTAAAACGTACATTTTAGCATCCCTGGAAGACTACGGCAGTTCGTGCTTGATCTTCACAGTGGCAAGTTACATCGAGAGTTTCATCATGGTCCCGATCCAGTTGCCCAGGTCACTGCCCAAACGGACGAAATAGTTAGATATCATAAATATCGTGTTATGAGAGGTTTTCTGCCGGCTTTTTGCATGATTGCGGCGGGTTCGCTCTAATCGAATCGTCCATTCATTTGATGGCGACCGCTACGCTTGTGTGCAGTGTCTTTTTTACACGATTGCGAACACTCGTTCACGCTTTCCCATCCAGTTTCTTCCCGTGCTAGTGGCCCATTCCCACGTTATTGGTACTCACTTAGGCTTTACGCATCCACTTAAAACCATGTTTTGATTCTTTCAAAATTTAGATTGTGAAAGTAGAAGCTATTTGGTTTAGAGCTTTTCTGTTATGAACAAAATTACCATATGCCTAATCTGGATTGTCTACTTTTTTTGGGTATCTTACTCATTTGGGGCATGTATTGGCAAGTAGTCCACCTAACCCAGAGTCAAATTTCCTTCCAGATCCTAAGTCATTGGTCCCTGTGGGAGAATAAGCACTGGATGTGTCTGGGAGGATAAATACCGTGTCTTGTCCGTCAGCTAGCCCTGGAAATTTAAAGTTTGGGCCAAATCTCTCTGAAATATCAGTTTAATCTGAGTGGAAGTACAGGGCGTTGCGCTTCCCAGAAGGGATTGATCGATTTGAATTCACCATACCGTCATATGCTTTATCACTATTAGTTTCACTT